TATTAATATAAATTTAAATTTAATAGTTAAAGGTGTGAATTCAAATTGTACGTTAGGCGCTCTTCGAGGTTAGACTGAGGAGGATTAATGGCAGAATGATCCCAATTTCTTAAGCTGTGATGCGGCAAATCAAGCACTAGGATACAGGATTTAGGAATTCGTCGTTTTGACTGTGCCCTAATCGGATTTTGATCATGTTAATGACTATAAGAACAGGATTTCAGAAAAAAGAAAGTTTGTATTTGGTACCTGGAGTGGACTTTAAGGATGTTTGGACACATGTGCTTTGCAAAAACAGCCTGCAACGGGTCACATTCTTGCAACGTCAGATTATATGTTTTTACCACACCTAAGTGTAGAGGATATGAACAAAAATCAAGGCTGGTCTGTAATTTTAAATGTTTTTTTCAGTATTTTTAGGAAATCTCAATAGAGAAAAAAACCAAATTACTTACTCTAGCTACACGGAGATACCCACAAATAGAAAACTGAATAAAGCTGTCACCTAAGGCTTCCCTGATCCTAGTAGTTACACCCCTCCAGCATCTGAGGTTTTTAAGAATTCACAAGAAATAAGTGAACGCCAACAAGTGCAAAAAATGCAAGGGATGAAAAAAAAGGCTTTGATGTTTAACTGGTATCATAATAACGTGACTGGTGGCAGGATACAGATCTCTGCATTTCTAGATAAGCTTGAGCTAAGAGTTTAACTGTCTTGAGACCTAATTCAATATATTATTCTTAGTAACGGAAGCTAAATTTTGGGTAATCTAAGCCACTGCCTGTTGCAGAGCCCAGCCCAGCGAGCCGTGCTGAGAGGTGATGGTTCTTCACGAGTCCCGTAAAGACTAAAGCCGACGAGCGTACCTGCTGTTCTGCTGGACTGAGGGTGTCGGACCTGTTGCTGTGTCGGAGAACTGTAACTACTAAAAGTTCCAACACCTTCCACAACGGGATTTCCCTCCCTTTCCGTAATGTGTGTTTTTTTCAGAATTCGCTCTAGCCTAATTCCAAATGTTCTAAGCATTAAGCTGACAATTAATATATTAGCAGGCATTAACTACTGAAGAATGTTTGGCTTTATGCCTGTTATAACTTCATTTTAGCACAGTGATACACATGATAAATATAAATTATGAAGGGGCTGCAACTGTTTGGCATAATGTTCCATCCATAATGTAAAAATTACACCAAGTAGCGCGCTGCCTTGCTGTTTTAAACTGCTGCTGTTTCTGTAAAGTCACTTTACGTGTAACCTACCGTGTTTGCAGAGGAGCTGAAAAGTTATGTGATGACCATTAATATTTCTAAAAATGCTGCATTTCTCTACATTCCTTTCCAGCACATTTGCACACCTAAATACAGGAAGAACTGACTGAAAAAAAAAAAAAAGAAAAGAAAATCAGCACAGAGGTTACTCACCAAGCCATTTTGCAGTTTTAGTTCCCTATTTCCTACAGTTTATCTCAAGCTCCTGCTTTTATGGCTTCCCCAAACTGCTTTGTAAGCAGACACAGAGGCAGCCGACGCTGATCCTCGCCATCCTCACCCACCACTCTGACACGTGGCCAGCACATCTGTTTGCTCCAAAACTGCTCAAGGCTCTCTTGGCTCACGCGGGCTTTGGAGTCTACAGGAGAAACGCTCCAAAGGCAGAAATGTGGGATTCCTTCAGCCCAGGATTAAACTGATTCAGACTTTGGGAACGGTGGGGCACAGCCCAGGAGGTACCACTTCCCACCGCTGTTAAACACTAACGCTCTCTTCTGCAGAACTGCTCAGAAGCGCTCAACTTTAGAGCCATCCTCGGGCCTCCGGGAGCCTCCCCCTGGAATTTTATTTGGAAATTGGGCTAATTTGATGCTTACAAAGCTGCATGTAACAACCCCTTGAAACGTACCTTAATTATCAATTTAAATGGGAGGGATAACTGTTTTTGCTTCTGACACGGCTGAGAGGTGGCTGTCCAGCAGTAATGTTGAAAAAACGTAGACGAGAAGAAGACGTAGGCATATGCCGACCTTGAAGAATTCACTGATCTTAAGGCAAGCTAGAAATATAAGTACAATAATGTATTAACTCAAAACTATTTCAGACTTACCACCTTCATTATTAGTGGTCAGAAATCACCTGTATCACACAGGCATCGGAATCCAGTCTATGAATGTTTAAGTGGCCCTTGAGTGTGAGTTCCCTGAACACTTAAATCTTAGTTGGCATTAGAGGCCAGACTGGAATTTATTCTAAAACAATCTTCCTGTACACCCATCCACATAAGTACAAATGAGAAAAGACACCACCAGCACCTCGAAAATTCTTCAGGTATAAAAAGAAATTGCCTCCACTGCTGGTTTTCCAGCCTCCCAGCAAATGGAGTTGATCACTTTTAACTTAGAAACCTCCAGAGAAAACCCTAATTCTGCTGGAAATGGTGTTTGATTAACCACAGGCAAACTAATGGATGTGTTCTTCCTGTTGAGTCATATCGGTACAAAAACATGTTGTCTGGAGGGAGCTTCTGATGTGGTACAAAACATAAACCTTTTGACCCATGACATCAGAAGTAACCCTTGTTATTCATCCAGATGTCCTGGACAAGCTTCAGCTTGGGTAACTAAAAAATCGAAGAATACTAGGGGCGGAGTAGGAATGAATCTTCCATGACGTAATCTGCATAATTATAACTACAGAAAATATGGCATTTGTCCATATTGAAACTGGAGGAAGCTGAAGAGTGAAGGGTACCTGCAGGAAAACAACCCGAGATCCGAAAGCATAAATACTATGCTTCCAAGAAAGATTTTTGAAATTAAAATAAATCAAATTCACTTACACCTTTTTCTGTGGGGTCAAACCAAAATTCCTCACTGATACGTGCTATGGCATGTATTGCTCTTCCAAAAAGAGAAGAAAACAGTGCGATACACAAAAAGTTATACGGCATTTTCTCCAGGATAATTTAAGAATTTCCTACACGTTTCAAAGCAAACCAATGACGTGGTGAGAAACATTACTCTTCCCTTTTTAGCAGCACAAACACCTCGATGTTTTCGAAAGCTGCCCCTGACGAGGCGCACCTTGAATGTCACCAAATTAGTTTAATCTCATGGGGCAAAGCGCCACCGAAATTAGAACCTAAATTGTGCAGACGGCAAAAGATCTGAGAGAGCGGTAAGCAGTCGCAACACCAGAGAAACCAGCAGTGGCCTCAAAATTTGCCTCTGCCCGCTGGAGAGCAGCGTTTTGGAGGAAAATGGGGCACATGGGCGGGTTTGGTTGGGCCTCTGGAAGGAGAGCGCTGTGCACACGGAGAAGCCTGGCCAGGCAACGGCTTCTCCATCTTAAAGTACCACAAATCCAGCCCTCCGAACAGCTTGCAGAGGCTGTGTGCTGCCCCCCAGAAAATGCTTTTGCCCCCCTGGAGTGGAGGAAGAAGGCAGCTGCTCCGCTCTGTCGCTTCACACCTCAGGGAACCCCACCGGGGCAGTGCCAGGGGAGGCGGCTGGGCAGCCACAGGGCGCCTGTTTCAACCACAGCCACCCCCTCCCGGCGGGG